ATTAAATTGGAACTTTAAGGATAGCTTTGCCTTGGACTCTGATTTAATTCTGCATGATATTTGGAACGCTGACATTAACTACAATGCAGTGACAAAGGACATATCAGTTTGGCTTTGTTCTTTTTTTCTTTTCACCTATGGAGTTCTCTGCACTTACATAACACTGGAAGTGAGTCCTCTTTCCACATAGGGGAAATGGGAGGCTTTTCCATTATAGAAAACCTTCATAGTAAATGTATATCCCAATCCTTTTTTATAAAGCATATAATGGTGATGTAATTTCTGACTAGCTTTAGAATATGAGTTTTGAACTTAACACAGTCCAACATATCAAAACATTTGATGGCTTCATTAAAAAGATACAGATTTACTGCGAGGCAACCTAACACTGATTATATTTAACACCATAAACAATTGTGTGTATTTTGAGATTCATACATTCAATGAGTGGATCGGATTTACATGTAGACTACGAATAAGGAGGAATTTCCTGAACAGGACAATCAATTAATGGAGCAGCTTGCCTCCCAGAGAAATTTTCAAGAAAAGATTGGACAATCATTTGTCCAGGATGGAGTAAGGACTTGGGCAGGAGATTGGACTAGAAGGCCTCCAAGGTCCATTCTAGACCTATAATTCTTAAAAGATGTTTTGCTCATTGCATTTGAAAAAATATTTGCCCTTGTCTGGGATCTGCCCGGCAGGTGAACAATCAAACATGTTGCAGAGACTCAGCCCTAACAGCAGAATTGCTAACAAGATTTACAGTATTCTACTCTAGACTTCAGGCTTGGTTTTAACTGAAACTATTGGATTGTGTAGTCCTTCCAGAAGAATGTTCTAAGAATTCTTCATATCATTAAAAAGCAACAACCCTGAACTGCTTTATTAAATAATTTCAAAGAATCTTCTCATTTTCAATGTTCAAATAAGCCACAACAGCAAAGCTTTTAACATTTAATTGTTTATTACTTTATCTCGCAAGCTTTTCACAAAAAAGTAGATTTCCTTTTAATATTGTTAGCAAAAAATAGTTTAGAAGCAGCTCTGTCAAGCCAAAAAGAATTTAAAAATACCCGACATGGCTGGCATAGCTAAAGCCTTCAGAGGTTCAAGGCTCCACAGTGAAGGCTAAAACTAGTGAATGACTAAAATAGGTTATTTAAAGCAGATAGTGAGAAGACAGGATGAGTAAGATAGCAATAATGGGATCTTAGCATCTGATGGGATAGCACACATACATCTACAATCATGACTGACATTCAACAGCTCAACAGCACTAGGTACTGTCATTGCTCCAAATGGCCAGCATGACATTTTAGAATAGATAAATGGCAGGAAAGATAGAAAAGAGCATCAAAGATTAAGAGACAGTTCAAATGGAACATTACATGAAACAAGCGTAAAGAAGAACATGGGACAGAACTTGCAATTGTTTTTTTTTTCCAAAAGGCTATTAGTAAATTGCAAAAACAGGAAATCAGAATATTGCATTGGAGCAATTGAAGAGGAATAGTAGCATTAGGAATCTCTCAAAAACGTAATAATTTACAGATCCTTACTTTAAAATGCAAAGCTATTGTGAGGGCTACAGGAATCTGGGCTGTGGTGACAACAACACGGACGTAACACTAGGGTTATTGATTTTCCAGATGTTATTGAATCACAACTCCTATATCCTTCAACATAGGCTATGATTGCTGGGGCTCTTAGAAACTTTCCTTCAGTAACATATGGAGGGCCACATGTTCTTTATCCCAGCTGAAGCATGGACTTTGATCGAACCCCAAGAACATATTGGAACAGTCCTCTTGTCTGATCAGGGGAATTCAAAACAGAAAAGTTATCACACGTAGGTCTATTGTTTAAGTTGTCAAAGCCTGACTATAAAGTTTTGAGTAATCTCAAGACAGTCAAGAACAAGCCTTGGCTTGCTTAACCCAAGTCAAAAAGCCATGGGAGGTCCCACCAATCATTATAATTGCATGCTCAATAAAGTCTAAGTTCTCTTTTGAGACATGGAAGGTCAGGGTCTCAGCTATCTAAAGATGAGAATAGTATAATCAGGTGACGTGTGATCATACCCCAAAAGTATAAGGAAAGAGAAAGAAGCAGGTCTCCCTCTCCCTCCCTCTCTCTTGCCAAAATGGATCTGAACCATAAGCAAGATAAAATCAGACCCATGACCTGGTCAAGTACCAGAGAAGTAGAACTGTGCAAAACTGAGCTCACTGAAGGGAAGAATCCCTGTCAAAAGGAATCCAATATAAGAGCTAGATAAGGAATCTACCAAAGTCCAAGGATGATGGGAAACTCTTATCAGCATAATTTGGTGGGGGTGGGATGAAGCAGAGGCCTCAAGGGATAAATTCAGCTATATGCAATAGCCGCAACGGCATCAATTGCAGATTTTTATGCGGGTCCCCTTAGAAAGAATGCGGAAAAAGGGGAAGATGCGCTCATGAAATGAAGCATTGAAGGTGTGAATATGAGCCATGTTTTCAGCATTGTAGAATCCTAGCTGGCCTCGTTCATAGTCAAGGTAGACACAAAAGCGCCGTAATTTCTCAGCTGGAGAGAGGGATGTCTGCTCAGTGCTAGTCAAAGCCTGGTACTTCTTACCATTGGTTCCTACACACCAGATCTCCCGTTTCTGGTGGGAACCACTGCTGGACTTCTCTTTTCGTCTGGCCGATTCGCGGGCTGCCCCTACAGCCCACCCTCGCCGGCCACCCACCTCCACTTCCCAGTAGTGGCGACCGTACGTAAAGCCCTGCAAGGCCAACACACAGTAGTCGGAATCAAAGCGTTTTGGGTTATCCGGCAGATCCCGCCAACGTTCCCCAAGTCGGACGCTGCGACAGTCTGAGGAAATTGTGAGCCGTGGATGAGCTGTTTCAGGGTCCAGAGTCAAATCCACTGTAAGAGAGAAAAAAAGAGAAAAACGGTTTAAGTAGGGAGCAGAACTTTGGTCTCTGTAACAGTGTTATTCAAAATTTGAAGATGTGTGGATTTCAACTCCCCAAATTCCCCAGCCAGCATTTGTGAAGTTTGAGAAACACTCATCTATTTGAACTCCTGCAAAACACTAGGGTAGGTCTAAAAAGAAAAGGTTTTCACAGCATGGATTATATGAATTGCTATTTCTGCAGTTTCTATTCCTCTTCTAATGACATTTTTACAATAAATAAATTATTAGCTTCCATTGCACAGTGGATGTATACATCTGTCAGGTCCCTTAGATCCCTAT